CATGCTGCTTGACAAATCTTCTGGCCTGTTCACCTGCATTGGAATGAGGGCATTAAGGGACAGCTAGCCCTCAATACCTTATGGTAGCACCAGGTAATTTCCACCAAGAAGATCAGAATATATCTTGAAATGTCAAAACAGCCAGACTGCTTGGGTTAAAGATTTGTCTGTAACTAACAAGAGCCACCTGGGCACTGATTTAATTGGAGCTATTCTAGCCTCAGCTCAAAGAGTAGAGTTTGGGACAAATTGTGGGACCAGAAATAAGTCCCTTTAAAAAATCTGATTGGACCACTTCTGACAAGTCTATATCCTTATGTGTGCATACCTGGAAGCCACAGGATAACTGATATATTACTTTGGTCTCAAATACTTCTAATCCACTTGGTATATATTTACCTCCTGTAGTGCAGAAAAATCTGAATTTGGGACCTCCATGAACCAGTAGCATGGAAAATTATTCCATGGTACTTAAATGCCTGAACTTGTTCATTGAACATTGTACCATTGATTTGCTATCTGTATTTGTATCTAAGTGGTCTCTTTGAGAAGGCCATGATTTTTGTTCTTGGTTTTTTTTAATAATTGAGGATTATGTCATTATCCTTACAGTAGGAGGCTGCTGATCTTAAAGTTCTCCTTATTCCAATGATTGGACTAAGTAGTTGAGATAATGTCTGCATCACTTGCATATAAAAGTGGTCTATGATCCAGGTGTGTGTGTGTGGGGGGGTGTCTGGTTTTCAGGTTTTTGGGTTTTTTTTACCATATTATTAATCTAAGGTCAAACAGCAGGGTAATGTCAAGTCTTATTTATTCTCACCCATGCTTTACTTCCATGTTATTACCTTCAGTAATAATGTTTTAAGGACCAACCTTTTACTCCATATTTTACACACACACACACAAATTATAATTCAGTCCTGTTTATTTAATTGTATACTTTTGCTGAATAAACCAAATTAATCCTGCTTTTCAGTTTAGATTTATTCTTTTGCCCTGTGTAAAATAAACAGATTCTCCCATCCCCCAGCCCCCACCCCGGGAAGATATTCACCAAGCCTTCACCATTCTCATTCATTCTTAGTTTCTGAATGGCCTAATCACTTTTCCTGCAGGTTCTTTTCCTTTTCCCACCAGTACATTCATGTCCTCTAACAGAATATCTATTACCTACTATTTTATTTTCTAAGAACGCCTGTCGTGATATGCTAAGAAAGGCTGCTGGAAGTAAAGATTGTACTTGATGTTTTGCCTTGCAGCATACCATCTTCCAAACAAACAAACCTACAAAATAAAACCAGGAAGGACAGGAAGCCTTTCAGCTCAAGGGAATTTTTGCCAGGCACAATTTCAGTGGCAAAATAAAGAAAAGATCAACCAAAAAGGCTACTTTGGAAACCAGGGAGGTACTTCACCACTTCTAGAAATGGGTGTTTTATGACAAGCCACTCCCACCCTAGTTCCTCTTTTCGGAGAATGCTTAAAATATTGTTTCAGTAGTTCCAATGTGCTCATTGCCCACCAAACTGTAGGGGTTCTTGTTAAAACTCTATGCACACTTTCAAATGAATGACTATCAGAGAAGTCTGCTGCTTTGATCCATTGAAAATCTCATTGATCCTCTTCGGGTGTTCTGAATCTTCTGCAGAACAATATGAGAGGGAAGAGTGATTTCAGACATACTAGCTGTGCCTCCCTCTCTATTTTTATCTCAGTCACCATGAGCATTGGATCAATCACATGGTGGGAAGGAGAAAGACATTCCCATTGCAGAACATTACTTAAGATGACAGTTCATACTTACATTTCAGTTACTATGATGCAAGCTATAACATTTTGTGGGAAATGAACAAAGATTGGAAAGAGATGTGAATTATATGGGATTCTAAAAGAATTTGGCATTCTGATATAGGTGACAAGTCAATGAAATTTAAGAGAGCTGAAAATCAGTTTCTGTTTTTTTTAAAAGTTCCTGACAACTATCCAAAGAATTCTTTGACACATGCTTCCATTAATAACTTCTACTAGAAACTGTATTTATATACTTAGGTAACATGAACATTAGACAGAATAAGTTAACTACTTTCAACAGCTTACACTAATTGTCACAACATGGCAGACCAATGGCATCTGTGGCAGGTGTGTGTCAGAATCTGCAAGATGGCTGGTGCAACTGATTGTGTACATGAGGTGATACCACACAAATAGACAAAAGAGATGGGACATTGATTGTGATACTGCACCCACATCCTTGCCATCTTTACCCCGCTTCACTTACATACCTGTGTAGCAAATGTTAGCTTTGATTTTTTGTTTTTTGTGTTTTACTTGCAGGGATGGCCTGCAATCCCAGCCCTGCCTAGAGACAGATATTTGGTTCATACAGGACCTGTAATGAAAGTGTCATTTCCAACACTTTTCAGAGATAAATGGTATGTTTTATTTGTTGTTATAATGTTTATGTCAAAGCAATCAAGGTTGGTTGTCCATTGAAAATGTGAACTTCAATTAATGCAGTTTAATCATAATACAGTTCACTAATACACACACACACACACATACACACATATTCATTCATAAAATAAGCCAAACACAGAAATCCTTTGAGTTCCCCCCCCCCTTTACAGAGAGAGAGAGAGAGAGAGAGAGAGAGAGAGAGAGGATACTCAGCTTATAAAAACAATGAATGAAACAATAAAAGCTGCAGTTTAGAGCACCAAAACCCTAATTTATCTTTGTAATGTGCACAACCCTCCAATTTCTGTCTATAGAATTTTAAATTGGTCACATCACAACAGCTTCCAATGATGGTAAAAAATAAGAGTTTTCCAGTGCTGTTCAAGGAGATAATTATATCCCGTTTTATCAAACTTGCATTTTTTTTAGATCAGTGTCTAATAAATTCCAATCATGTTTGAATTCTGGAAATTATGTGGAAAACATGTAACACTGTTTAATAAACATCATATAAACCCATCATCTCAGTCATTCATAGTTTGTGGGAAAATACTCCAGATTATTTCCGGTGGAAAAATATTCTATTCATTGTCTTATTCATCATCCTCTTAATCGCTTCACTGATTTCCCTGTTTCTTAAGCTGTAGATAAGGGGATTCAGCATGGGCATGATGGTAGTATACATCAAAGCCAACACTTTCTTACTACCCTCTTCATTAATGGATTTGGGCTGAAGATAATTTAAGCTACTACTTCCATAAGACAAAACCACAACCATGAGGTGAGAGGAACAGGTAGAGAAGGCTTTTTGACGTCCTTCTGCTGATGTCATCTTTAAAATGCTGGAAATAATGAGAAAATATGATACAAGAATGAAGATCAATGGGGTGACAACCACCAAAATGGTGG